GTTTTACGATTTAAAGTCCGTACAATATAAGGCGTCAGTGCTTTCGTTTTATTATTTCGAAAACACATTTCAAGGAATTTAAATTTTATAGCATAGAGATTGTACACTCCAAATTACTTAAGTACTCGAATAATTGGCACGCCGTTATTTTTCTATTTAAGGCCGCCTTGAAATTATTTCCTCACAACGGCGACAGAATCACGACACTTTTTCATTTAAGTTCAAAATTTGTCTATCAATCACATACATATTTTTCTCTAATTTGGCACACAAAATTTTACGCGTTTTTATAAAATTTAGTCGCCTTTTATTTTATACATAATTATTATTAGAAATAAATATTATACGTGCAAGAAGAGTCGATTTCATTGCACCGAGCCATAACAGAGAGCTTGCGAATATTTATCGTTGTACATATTTCCTTCGGACGTGAAAGGCTAAATTATGAATTGTGCCACATGTAAAGTGAATAAAATCGGTCCGAAGACCGCACCCTTCGGCGGCTACCTATGCAGCAATGAGCACATGCAGTGTGGCAACTGCAATGAGCGCACTGACGGTCAATGTGGCATTTGTGAAACGTGTACATCCTTCGTGCAGATGAATTTCAATCAACGCGAACGCAATACTTCGCCTGTGCGACGCTGTTACCCGATGGCAAGACCGACACCGACAGCACAAAGTTTAGATGTGGAGAGCCACTCGGTAGCTGCCGGCACGCTGGAAACGGACTCATCCTATATATTTCCGAAAGCGCTGTATGCCGATATGGAGACACAGTCGAGCATCTCGCAGGAGCAACTGAGTATGCACGAGTCGCATGATGGCTTCAGCGAAGATCAAGGTGAAGAAATTCATCAACATTTGATCGACGGTATGAAAGTTTTCTTTTTTGTTATTGTCTCTTTCACTAATTTTTCGGCTATGCGACAACAATAGCAGATGCAATGGCGGCGGCCATGGCTGCTGCCACAATGACGCCATCACCCACGCCAATCTCCATGTCCATGTCGGTGCCGATGTCGATGAATCAGTACTTACCGAACGCACAGGAACGCATACAAATGGAGACCATATACTTCGGTAGCAATCATCAGCCACAGTCCGCCTCGAACTTTACCTTTCAATTTCGTACAGAAAACGGTTTCATGCGTCTAATGCAGCAACGTGACTCTAGTGGACAAGCGCTGGAGGTGATTGAAGCGCCGAAGAGCATACAGCTGACAACGGAGCATACAAATCTCTGCGATAATTCCTATGACGGCGGTTGCGAAATGGCAGGTAGCGTGGAAAAAGAAAAAGGGCCTAACACAACTGCTGACGTAAGTATAGTCACAATTAGCGTTACTTCTGGTATTTAATATTTTATGCTAGGAGACCGAAGACGTCATACATACATCCGAAATACGTTTTATGGATTCGACGGAGAGCATGAAGAATTATTTTTCCGGCGGCACAATGCATCCCATACTCAAGGTGAAGAATGAACCACCGCGTACAAGCACGACCACTTATAGTCGCAACTTGCAACCGCAAGAGTCACTATCAATGAAAAAACTGCACGACTTTGAGACACGCAACACCGCACATCCCGCCGAGCTGGTCGAGAGTTATCTGCGTAATTATGGGCCACTTGCGTTCTGTCAGTTTCCAGCTTATGCGTTTAGTCACAGTTGTCAGGCGAGTACTTGTGACAATCGCAATCAGTCCGTTGTGCAGTCGCAAACGCATTCGCAAAATCCAACACGCAACGTTTCGGCTTCCACCGAATCGGAGCCTACATTGGCCAGCACTAAGAAGACAGAGTTACCGCCGGGCAAACACTTGCCACCAGATTATTTTGTTATGCAAGCTACGGGTGTGGCAACGCCAACACCGGGTACGCTACCGATTCCGGATAAAGTATCACGTCCCAGCATTGATATACGCATGCAGAAGGTGTTGGAAACATTCCAAGAAGATCCACGTACTCCAAATGTTAGCGATAAGCCTATCATAGATCAATCGAAGAAGTTTTTGAAGATTATGGACGCTTTGGAGCCCGCACCAGTTCTTGAACCAGCAATGCCGTTGGTTCCGGAAAAACATGGTGATCAGTTGAGCTCTTGCGAGTTGCCAGTCGATAAGGCAAGCATTGATATTATGGCACAGCTTTCGAATACGCACCGCGCCTTCTATAATCCACCAACTAATAGTCGAATAAATGGCGCTTTTAACCCAACCACCAATCTTTTGAACAACGAACCACCACCGCAATTTCAACTTGTCACCTGTTCCAACATAATGGCAGCAGAGCTTTTGCTCGCCAAAGGTCGCTTTATTAATATGAAGCCCACACCCGCCTGTCACCTGACCATACCACGTCCGCCCATCAAGTGCCCGGAATCGTCGTGTCAACGCATGATTTTCGTTTCGGATTTCAATAAACATTTGATTGTGGATCACAGCATGTTACCCATGGAGCGTATAGCGCCACGTCAATGCAAAAATTTCTTTCTCGATCCAAAGTTGGCACATCGCGCTACCAGTAAATGTCACTTACTCTATCTGATACGCGATAAAGTGACCGATTTGGGTAGCAGCAAATTCAAGGATTTCCTGCCTCTTTTAGTGATGACCACACGCATTCGTCTTTCGGATTTATGCTGCATTGATGGGCGTGAATTTGAAAATTCCGAACAGAGCGATACGAATCCGGAGTTTCTGATGATCTGGTTGACCGGTATTGTGCCGGAGGAGTTTCCTGTGACTACCAGTTTGACTGTGTGGTCGCGTTCGGGTCAAATACCCACTTGCCACATGGTGCATTCGGGCGAGATGTATTCATTACGCAAGTCGCAGGAAATCCGTGATGTCTGTCGCAGCGGTCAAATGTTATTACTTTCCAACTCTGAAGTGCACTTACTCACCAATGCTGGCAAAGAGATGCTGGAACTGCAAATTGTCATACATTAAGTGAGTAATGCGAGTAACTACGTAAGATGCTTGTAAAGAAGTGGTCCGAATAGATAAATGTGGCTGTAGAAAATCTTGATGGAGAAGCTCCATAAGTTAGTCTGAACAGTTTCATATAACCAAAAACATTTAAACGTACAATCCGATATCCAATATATATTTTATATACAATTTAGTTAAACAGTAAAAAAATGTAGAGTTGCTGATGGAAAAAACACACAACTTACGAATAAATATTGTTCATTCATATATACATAAATGCATGTAGGCTTTCTATGGCTCTAAAAGGGTTAGTCGTTGGACTCCAAGTAGTGTTTTCTGTTTCATTCCTACTTCACATTACACGGTGCCTTCTTTATTTCATCCATCTCAAGCGTTCACTTTTGAGTACCATCACTGGCTATTTGCGCTAATCAAATCTTATTGCGGTGTTGTGTTTTATACGTTGTGGGACCGCCAACCATTCTTAAACTCAGAGCATTGTTCCGTACTCATCGCTGGACATGGTCATCAAACAGCGACCACTTATTTTGCGAGAACCTTTCTGTTGCCTGATAATATTGAGTGTCTTCACCTTATCAACATTTACATTTTGGTCATTCATGAAGTGAACCTTGACTTGGAGCTCCTAAAATCGCCAAAAATTTTGCACACTTTGAAGGGTTAGACGGGTAGAATCTTTACATTCGAGAGTTGTAGTCGTTGCAACAGATTCTTGCTTTTTAAACGCTTAATGTTTTTTCAAATCAAAAATTCATCGAAACTTGACCTCAAGTTTGACAATATCGAACTTTTTGACAAATGCCAATACCCGAGACTGATTAACTCCTTTAATAACAGTAAGTATAATTCTATAAACTGTAGGAAGCATATTTTGCACATGTGGCCAAGGTTTGAATAAATGTTTTCGATAATTGTTGGTTTTCGAGTCTTTTGATAGGCATATTTCGATATATTTTATTAAACAGATAATATTTGGAAAGGTTTAGATTAACTTCCATTTATAATTTATCATAGCATTAATAGCAGAAATAACTAACATTTCTTTTGCGTACTTGACTTATATTAAATAAGAAAATTTTCAATTTTTAATTTAACATCGGAGTTAAAAATACAAACCTATTTGCAAATTTTTTCAAATAAAAAATTCGCAACTCTGGTCCTGGTTGGATAATTTCTTAGCTGCCATTGCAAACTAAGAATGTTTTGTATTATTCACATCATCTACTAGAATAGTAATTCAGGAGACTTCATTCGAATCATTACACTACTAGGCAGCTATCAAAAGCCTAACAGAGGTGAAAGTGCTATATTATTTCAGTAAAAATAAATTTATTTGAGGTATATTTTGGTGCATCATTTTAAGTTACAAACAATTTTTTCAAGCGACTTAAATTTCCTAGTGGGATAGCTATTATATATCTACTCTCGAAATAGCCTAAAAGTATGCAGCGCCGCTTGAATCGGAAGCAACAAGTGCATTTGAAAGCATTAAAATATTATTTAAAACTACAATAACTGTATACTTAGTTGTTTATATCTGAATAAAAACTAACTATATTCATTTGTAATCTAAGATATCCACCACACAATAAATCAGATCATTAACGAAGAATGAGAGAAGATATTTATCATTAAAGCAAGACAGAAAATATGATTCGAATATTCTCAACCTAACTTGGACCTGATTTTCGTTGAGTATATGTCCGACTTGGCTAAAATATTCTAAAAACAAATGTGTGACGAGAGATCCAAATTTGCATCGTCTGGATCTCGCTTACTTTCTAGAATTTAAATTGAAACACCTAGCCAGACATCGAGTACGCTCTCGCGGAAAGTAAATTCCGCCAGAATTATTTATATGTTGGAGAAGATAGTCTAATAAACTGAGTTTAGTCGTTTTGCTCTTCCGTAAAAAGTTCTGTATCATATTGAAATTTGCAAAGCGTCTATAGAAATATAATGGACACGCTTTTGCTTTTTTACTTCGGGTTTTGATGGTTAAAAAATAAGCGAATTCAAATTGCTACGTGAAAATGAATAGTAGAAAATTCTAAGCAACAGCCAGCAAAATATATTTTACTTTAAAGAAAATTTTTAAGTGAGGTGGCTGTTCTTTTGGCAGTCGTTCAAAAAACAGCAGTTCTATAAGTATATTCGATGAAAGGTCGACGCTGGGCACTTTTCGTGTGCGACGTGGACAGGGATTGGGATTTATAAGTTTTAAGACCGCCATAAATGGTTGATGGATTTATTTCGAAGCTTTTTTGAAGTATGCTGACAGGCTGCTTATTGTCAAAACCTTGTTGCCGTTGGTCAAAAAGTGGGTTCCAATACACGCTTAGAAAAAGGTATTTTTTTATAAGTCAAATATGTTTACGTGAATTTTAAATGAAAAGTTCATAGAGACATTGCTTGGATATATCTTTCAGTTTTGATTTATATCTTTGCCTGTGAATTAAATAAAAATTGTTGTTATAAATTTTGTAATTGAAAATTTTATGAATTGTTTTTTACTATCTTGACTAAGCATTTTAAGAAAGGCAGAATAAGAAAAACTCGGAAAATATATAATTTGCAAGGAGGCGTCAAAGATCAACCATTCACACAAAATTCAAAAAACAGAAAAAAAGCACAGCTGAGAGCAACTAACTGTGGAGCGCTTGTGAAGGAATTGAGAAAACATAAAATCTCTAGTTCCACAACACAATACAAGTTTATAACGCACTTGCAATACTCAAACGAGGCGCAACGATGTCCAACGGCGCTTTGCCAAAGATCAAGACATCCAAATCATCGCTGAAAACCAGCGAATGTCGCGAAGAGGCGAAAGTACAAAACTCCAATAGCGAATTCTCATTTGAGCTAAAACCGAAACCGAAATTGACTTGCATACCGGAAAATTGTAGTAAATTCTTTAGCGATTTGCGGTGAGTTGAGCGTTGGCGATTCAGTTCCAGCTTCTGACTGATCATTGTAGTGAACCATTTTGCAGAAAAACACAATCGCTGAATGTGTCCAAGAAGACGGAGGTGCCGGAGAAATCGTGGTCCGTTTTGTTTATCGGCTCGAAGAGTAATCTGCACGCCAAAAATCTTATTATGTAAATGAAGCGCATGGGCATGGAAACGTCACACATGTATAGCCAAATTTTGACTAACATACTTGTTGCGGAAGAGCTCTCTGAGTGAACTCTGGAAGCCAAGGAAAATATTTTTCATTCAAAAATTACCGCTTGTGATATGATGCGAAATTAATAAAACAGAATTTAGCAGATTTGAGACAAATGTATGTATTTTTTTTTTTATAGAAAAAGAGCACCTAACTTGAATTCTACAAATGTTTTATGTTTGAATTTGTCAGGTTTGAACTCTATAATCATACTTGTATAAGTTAGCGATCTTTCGATCTATACTAAATCCACTAGAAGTTCCAACGGAATAAATCTTTTTGTAAGGGTTATCTCTAGAAAATTACCACATGCGGCGATGGTTGTCTGAAAATCCTCACCCAAGTTTGACTAACATAAAACCACTAGAAATTATACGAAATTTCCTACAAGTACATGGAACTGCCGCTAAGAAAAATTATTTTTTATTGCACATAAAGTTTTGATTTTATTACAGTTATATTATATAAACATGTTTATGTATATAAAACAAATTAGAATTCAGGTTCACATTTTAATACATGAAAGTTGCGGGCTTTGGTGATCCATTCATTCATTTAGATTATAAGCGACAAGCCCTACTGCATAGAAAGTAATAAACTTCAGCGTCCTTATCAAGAAACGCATTTTATTTCGTTTTGCTCTATTGTTTTTCCTGGGGTTTTAAAGAAGTGTTGTTGGGAGCTGCGGAAATTTTTCCGACGTAATTTTTTTATTATTAGCAAAAAATCAGATAAACTGTCGAGAATTTTAAAAATTTTGAAGTTTATATAAACTTGACTTTTCTACAGTTTGCTATTACGAAAATGAAACAAAATTCTTGAGAGCGACATCTGTATTAGAAATGTTTCATACTAATAGATGCATATTACATCCAAGTGATAAAGACTAATTGAGGGTTCAAAAGGTGTGAGGGAAAAAGGTGTAAAGAACCTAAATACATATAAGTCGTGAATACGACTACATATAATCCATACTTTTAATTGCGAACAATCTGCGTGGAGTTTTTAGCAGAGAAACTGTAATTAGTTTGGTCTAACGAAATGTAACCTTAGTATAGGTTTTTAGATAAAATAAAAGAGGTAATGAGAAGTAATTCAAGCTATCCCTGTGAGTATTTTTCTTTAACAGATTTTTTTGTAGATATCTTTTTCGAAAGTTGTGTTCAACTTCTCCCTGCTTCCGAAGTGTACGAGTACATTGTTAAACGCATCTATGAAGTGTGTTGTAATATCACAAGTGGTTCGAACTTAGATATCTATACAGAGTGATCTAAAATCTCATATTATCTTACTATACTTCATTTTGAGTTTGTCTAAGAAATATTGGATGAGCTTGCCAGCGTCCTTTCAGGCTCTGTTTTTTTATTCCTGGAATGGCGTTGCTTTCAGTGCATTCCTTTAAGTCAAGGATCTGTTATATCAGATATGAGTTCTAAAGCTTAAAAAGCTCATGCCTTTATAGTTTGCAGTATTTATCCTATGCCGGAACCCTACAAAATATATGTATAAATACTTGTATATAAATGATTAGCGCAACGAGCTGAGTCGGTTTAGCCATGTCCGTCCATATCTGTCTGTATACGAATACCCCACACATCAATTTCTCCCCAAGAAGCTGCTCATTTGTTGGAAACACCAATATGGGACCATTATAACATATACAAGTAGCAGCCATACAAACTGAACGTTGAAAATCAAGAATACAAGAAGGAAAACTTTTTCATTTGATAAGATATTTTCTCGAAATTTGGCATGGATTATAACCTAAGACTACACTGCAATCTCCAAATATATTGTTCAAATTGGACCACAATAGCATATAGCCGCCACACAAATTGATCGATCAAAATTAAGTTCTTGTATGGAAACTTTTTTACTTGTGGAGGGTATTCTAGCCACGGTGCAACGTTTTTTCTTGTTTTAGCTGAATCTCGCTATGATTCGGTTGCACGACAGATATATGGTATTCAAAATAGCAGTAGAAGTTCATATGAACTTTAATAAACGACTCGTACGTATGTACTTGTGTATATGTATGTTGTATGTATTAGAAGTGAACAGTTTAAATTAATGACACCCAAAGGTTAATAAATATACATATGTATATCCTCACAGCAAATAAATCAATATGATTTATGTTAGATTTTGCGACAAAAGAAATGTATCTGTACATTTTTATATGTATGTATATGGTATCCGATGATGTCGTTTTATAGACCAAACTAATATTTACTTACATACGAGTATGTATGTATGTGCATAGTAGTCGATTTGATAACAGATCACATTGCAAGTTTTGTTGAAAAAAAAAATGTAAAAGAAGCAAATTAAATGTAAGCTTTGTTTTTATTTTTTGCAGTCTTCTGTTCAGATAATGTTCTTTTTGTACTGAACGGTGTACCCCAGAATGCTTAAGAAAACAAATATGAATGTAGAAAATACTTCCATGTAGGTACGAACTTATAGATATACATATACAGTCAAACCTGGTTAAGAGGAAGTTCAAGTGACCATGATTTTTTTCTCGCTTATAGAGACTTATAGGAACTTGATGGAGTCTTTAAATTTTAATTTTTTTTAATTTTCAAATTCACATCTTGATTTTCCCAACTCGAATGCATTTATAATTTTCAGTTTATCACTTAACGACAACACGTTAATTTTTCGTTTAGATGTTATAATTTGTTGTAAGAGCTGTACTGTTCGTTGCATATGATATTTATGAACTGCAGTGAGCATGACAAATAAATAAATACAGTTATATATTATTTCTTTAAATTACAAGAAAGCAACATAGTTCCTGATTTCTGAAAAAAAAGAAATAGTCATACATATTGTATTGTAGAAAAATTGTCGCTTTGCGAGGTAAATGCAAAAGAGACTCCCAGTTATAGAGGTCAGAGTGAGAAAAACGACAGTCACTTAAGGAACTAAGAATTATTCTCACTTATAAAGTTTTCTCGTTTACACAGGTTTGACTGTACTTACATGTACATATGTACATCATACAAATATATCTAAGCATCTGATCTGGAGCGAAAAATTTGTTTAGACATTTTTGTGAATATGTTTATGAGTATGTTACGGCCAGCATATGTGCACAATATGAGTTCGCATAACATACATACACACGAATACCTATGTATCAATATACAATATTCACATATTTCTAGAAATACTTGTGCTGATGAAAAAGTGTGGTTGAATTTTTATAAAAATTTTAAATATTTATATAATATATACAAGTACGTGTATCTATATACTTTTTTTATTTTTTCTTGATATTCTATAATATTTTGATCAAATAGCAAATTAAACGTGCCCGAAAAGTTCAGATGTACTTACATATGTATATATTCACAGGATTTATACCTGATGATAAAGTATTACCCGTATTACAAATCTTTATTATCGCCTGGCTCCTGAGCCAATAAAAGCATGCCAATGCTTAATCCGATTTTCCATTCATTTGTTATAAACCTTGGCTCAGTGTTTTCGGTTTATGCTTATTTTTATGTAGAGCGCCATTCGCTAGACTGTTGGACAGTTACTGAACGTCATATTCATAAACCTATGTCTCGTAACCAGTAATGATGTGTTTGATGAATGTACGGCCTTCAGCTACGTTGTCAAGCATCTTTGTTGCAACCTCTACATTTTTGCAAAAGATTCAGGTATTTTGGTACGCTTCTCACCCAAAAAATTAACCAAAATTCGTTAAGTCGATCCATAAGAGATGTTGAGATCCCCTTATATCTCTCAGATGCCAACAAGACGATTTTCAAACACTATTTCTTGAACTGTTTCGATGTTATCGTCATTAACAGATGTGGAAGGACAACTCGCATGAGATAAGTTTTCGATGGCTTCACAACCTTTACTGAATGCTTTGTGTCACTCAAATATTTTCGTTGCTGATAAAGTAGACTCCCCAAAACACTTTTGCTAAATACAAAATTTTTAGCAAACTCGTTGTTCAACTTTTTTTTTCATGGTAAAAATGGTCAGACAAACTTTTCGCGTCGTAAATAAATTACTGCCAAACACACATCAATTGACATATAGACATCAAACTTCACACAAGCATAAAAAAGGTTTACCAATCGGAAAAAAAAACTTTTACGATTCGGGTTTCGCGCGTAGCCTAAATGGATGAGTCCGGGTCAAATTTGATCAGATGGTATATGTTTGTTAATTGTAATGCCGAAAATTTACCGTTTTTAAAGTGAAATGTATTTTATTTTTTTCATAACCACGCTTGAAAATTTTATTTTCAAATTCACAACTGACACCTGACAAGTAAGTTGTTTTCTTATCCATTTTGGCCTAGAAGTCAAGCAATCTAGCAAGGTCATGTTCGGTCCAGTGTTTGCTGAGAACTGCGATCAAAGTACCGAACTGTAATAAATTATTAATACAGAACAGTAATAATGGTTGGGAAGAACCTTTGTCAAGACAATAGTAGCGTTGCCTTGTATAGTAATCTCTGTAAAATTTCGTGAAGATATCTTGTCAAATAAAAATGTGTTCCATACAAGAACTTGATTTTGATTGGTCAGTTTGTATGGCAGCTATATGCTATAGTAGAAGTCCATTTTGGCAGTTCTCCGCTGGGGCTACAGTTGCTACATGTAATCTTATGAGGTACATATGAAAGTTATGAAAACAATCAATATTTAGTCTTTTATTAATACGAACTTATTAATGACTTGTAATATTTCAACGTGAAACTGAAATAAATACTTACTTCGTTATAATTCTAATGCAATATTTCATTGATTGAAATTAGTCATCGATATATTCACATGTTTCACTTGTTCTCGAAATAATTTTATAAATTCAGCAAATTATGAAAGCTGTGAAAAGAATTTGTTTATCAGCACTCGTGTTAAAAATTGTGCAGAATAAGTCATCTAAAGCCCAAACAGACTTCTTCGATGCTAAACAAACTTCTAATATCATGTGATACGCGCATGTATTTGTGGTTTCGCACAATTTTCAGCAAATTCGTCGTTCAGCTATGATTCATGGATTTGCAAATCAACTCTTTATTATTTGAAAGTTGACAGAAAACGATTTTGTTTGTGAAAACGTTGTTTTTTATTCAATTGTGTTA